CGACGAGAGGGTGTATGCCCTTAGCATTTAAAGTGATTTTAAATCAAATCATTTACATTTTCAAAGGAGCCGTATTCGCAATGTTTGACCAACATTTTAAAAGGAGACCGTCCCTTTTTCGGACCCGTTGCTTCCTACGAACGCGGTGCCCCTTTTTCTTTCTGAAAAACGCCAAAACCTCATACATACAAAAGGGGCGTTTTACATCCGATCGTTAGCTACTCCTTTTTTCATCTTTTACCACCGACTCTTTTTACAAATCGATCAAATAATAATTCTAATCCATTCGATTTTTTATTTTCAAATTTAACTTTTATTACTTTATTTTGATATATCTAAATGGGACATTAGTAATCAGTTTTTTAATGAGACTTTTTTTTGATACAGATAAAAGCAATGACATAGTTTTTTTACCTGTTATCAACAATCTGGAATTACTCGAATGATTTCATAACTTTTTATTACTTATCATAATAAAATTGGTTGAATAAACACAATATTGAGTTTTAAGAAATTCATGTAAAAGATTAAATTTAAAATTTTCTTTTTATAAAAATGAATATAAATCAAATATTGAAAAGTATATTGATAAGTAGACACTTTTATTGATAATTCATGTAATTTTTGTAATAAGATGCAAATAAATGGATTTTACACAGATTTTTAAACGGAATCAAACAAAATTGTAAACTTTAAAAATTTTGCGAATATTGAAAAGTCTATATCTCAAAAACTACAACTGATTTTTCAAAACGGATTTGTTTATTGAAAAGCTGGTAGTTTTATTAATAATTAAGGATTGTTTCATAATGATTTTCCAAGAAATGAATTTTATACACATTTTTAAACTGAATCGAAAAAAATGGTGTACGTCAAAAATTGAAGGAAAATTAAAACGTTTATTTCTCAAAAACGAAAAGAGATTTTTTAAAACGGATTTGTTTATTGAAAAGTAGACACTTTTATTGACAATTCATGTAATATTCATAATAAAATTTAAATAAATGGATTTTACATAGATTTTTAAACTAGATCGAATAGAATTGTAAAGTTTAAAAATTGAAGGAAATTGAAAAGTCTATATCTCAGAAATTACAACTAATTTTTCAAAACGGATTTGTTTATTGAAAAGCTGGTAGTTTTATTAATAACTAAGGAATTTTTCATAATAATTTTCCAAGAAATGAATTTTATACACATTTTTAAATTGAATCAAAAAAAATTTAAACGTCAAAAATTTAAGGCAAATTACCATGTTTCTTTTTCAAAAACTAAAAGAGATTTTTCAAAATTGATTTGTTTATTGAAAAGCAGGCACTTTTATTAACAATTCATGTAAATTTCATAATCAGGTTTAAATAAATGGATTTTATACAGATTTTTAAACTGAATCGAATATAATTATAAACTTTAACATTGAGGTCAAATTGAAAAATGTATATCTCAAAAACTGCAAGTGATTTTGAAAAACGGATTTGTTTATTGAAAAGCTCTCAGTTTTATTAATAATTAAGGATTTTTTTATAATGATTTTCTAAGAAATACACATTATGCAGAGCTTTAAGCTGAATCGAAAAAATTGTAACCTCAAAAATTGAAGGCAAATTGAAAAATTTATTTTTCAAAAACTACAAGTGATTTTTCAAACCGGATTTGTTTATTGAAAAGGTGGTAGTTTTATTAATAATTAAGGATTTTGTCATTATGATTTTTCAAGAAATGAATTTTATACACATTTTTAAACTGAATCGGAAAAAATTGTAAACCTCAAAAATTAAAAACAAATTGAAAAGTTTATTTCTCAAAAACTAAAAGTGATTTTTAAAAACGGATTTGTTTATCGAAAAATAGACACTTTTATTGACAATTTATGTAATTTTCATAATAACATTCAAATAAATGGATTTTACACAGATTTTTAAACTAAATCGAATAAAATTGTAAACTTTAAACATTGAGGTTAAATAGAAAAATGTATATCTCAAAAACTACAAGTGATTTTGCAAAACGGATTTGTTTATTGAAAAGCTGGCAATGTTATTAATAATTAAGGGTTGTTTCATAATGATTTTCCACGAAATGAATTTTATACAGATTTTTAAACTGAATCGAAAAAAAATGTAAACCTCAAAAATTGCAAAATTTATTTTTCAAAAACTAAAAGTGATTTTCCAAAACAGATTTGTTTATTGAAAAGTAGACACTTTTATTGACAATTCACGTAATTTTCATAATAAGATACAAATAAATGGATTTTACACAGGTTTTTAAACTGGATCGAATAAAATTGTAATCTTTAAAAATTGAGGGAAAGTTGAAAAATGTGTATCTCAAGAATAACAAGTGAAAACTTGGCTATTTTGTTAATAATTAAGAATTGTTTCAAAATGATTTTCCAAGAAATGACTTTTATATAGACTTATTTATTTACTGAAAAAATTGTAAATCCAAAAATTGAAAATTTTATTTTTCAAAAACTAAAAGAGAGTATTTCCAAAACGGACTTCTCTATTGAAAACTAAACGTTTTTATTAACAATTCATGTAATTTACATAATCAAATTTAAAGAAATGAATTTTATACACATTTTTAAATGAAAACAAGAAAAAACAGATGCCCATACAATGTATTAAAAAAGGTTGTGTTTCGATATTGGAGACAAGAAGGACTAATAAGATTCAATTATGACTACCAATGATATGGAATGACCTAAGAAATCGCCTCAATCATTGACATTTCACGGAAGAATTCTCAAAATATAAAACTTTAAGAAATAAAAAGATGATATCAGTTAATTGAAATCAAGAAGAAAGTTGTTAGTTTTTGTTGATATTCCGAAATTATTGCCTAAAAAGCATTGGTGAGGTTACAAGACGTAACACGAATGGTCTCTTCTCTTCATTGATTGTGCCATCATCTATTTTTGTTATTATGTTGGCATTTTGTTTTTTGATCCCACTCGTTTGGTAAATTTTGTCGTATCGAAGCTCGTTTTAATAGGTGCTTTAAGAAATGGAAACAATTGAGATGTGAAATCAACTATCAGCGAAAATGTTGAGCAATTTGCTTTTAATTCACCTTATCTCTCAAACAACATAGTTTCAAATCAACAATCTTATACAGCTTAATCCATAATTTTGAGATTAAACTCAAAAATTTATTTTCAAAAACATATTTCATTTCAATCAAAACACATTGAGTGACACGCTAATAAAATAAATAAACATATCACCATCCACTTAACCTTTTTTTAACCTCACCCTATTACCATATACCGTGACATGAATAAACATACCCATAATAGATTTGACATGTTTAAATATACACCTAATCTAAATGGTTAAAAAAGGGGTTAAAAGGGTTGTGTCGCGTGTCGATTTTTACCTAACGCTTTTTTACATTCATTCAACAAGTACTTCCGCTTAAATAGATTAATATGATAAACGGTTGTTGAGAAGGGGGTGAATTTAAATACCTGGGGTGAACAGGTATCGGGGAGTCATCCTTGTTGATGTGGTGGTTAACGCGAGTAATCCCTCGGGAACGTTTTTTTTTCGAATCTATCCCTTGACACCCTCTCACTCTTGAGAGCTTTAAATTCCACACGACGAAAACGCGCGCTTCATTTACATCGTTTTAAAAGAAGGGGGATGACTATGGCGATCCCGAAGGTGGTAAGGTGAACAGATTGGGTTGTTTTCTTGCCTGACAAGTGTTATTTTTGATGGATGGGGTAAAAAAAGTCCTTAGGGATGAATAAAATGAGTTCAAATCTCTCAGTTACACATGTCGTTCATCGTGTGACATTTCAATATATGTTTTATGGAATGTATAACCTGCACGGGTCGTATATCAGCATGGTCTATCATTGCAAGGTGCTACAGAAGGGTCATTCGGGTCAGCCCCTCTAAGACTTCCGGTAATATACGGCCCCATATAAGTGTACCCAAGGAAACTACTCTACAAGAAACGTAAATTTTTCGAAAACGAGACTTAACTTTTATATATATTTTTTATTTTTTATATATAAAGTTAATATTGAAATGAAAAATATGTACCCAAGAGATTACCTAAACACTTTTTTAATAAGTAATCGAAAATTTCTAACGGTAAACGAAAAACTTTTTACGACATTTACAAACAAGATAAAATGTAGGCCACTTCAGATCGTTCGATGAGATAAAAAGGTGAACGAAAACATAAATTCGGTTTATATTTGTACACATATTAGTAAATTAAAAAATTTTTCCTGGAATTAATTCGACGATTAATTAACAAATCAATATTAATGGCAAGTGCGCAAGCGTTTGCCACATCGTGAATGTAATTCTTGTTGTTATTTTATGATGTCGGGTTTTTCTAAGATTAGATCAATAAAACACAATCATATCTTTTTACACAATTATGTGATAGTTTAAAATTCTCGGTTAAAAATATGATACATTTAAAAACAATAACAAAAAATTTTTTTATTAATTTTTTTCACCCTTATTCGCGAAAGTAGATCAATCGAGACAAGTAGATAAAGCTTACGATAAAAGCAGGGATAAACCAATCTTCGCGGCGCCATCTAGGACAACATCACGGGACATCGAGTGCCTTTCAACTCGAGTATAATTCAATTTAAATAAGAGAAAGTTCCCAGCTGCGCGTGTGTGGGAGGGATTTTTTTTCAAGGGGGGAAACTATGGACGACACTTAGGGGGCAATTTGGTTGCCAGCAGGGGTAGCTAAATGGCGTCGAACACGGACCATACTAGGGTAAAGACGACGAGGTGTTAAATTTTTCTCCAAATTCACCAAAACACGCCAAAAGAAAAACGATCTTCTTAAGAAGCTTTTACCCACCATACTTTATTATGCATTGAAAGGTTTCTACGTGAAGGGGATCTTCTTTTAATTAACCTTTTCATTCCGATAAGATTTATCGAAGATCCATTATTTTTAATGTGTCTTTGTCACGGTTGTTTTTTGAGGGGTAAAAAATGGTAAATACTCACTTGGTGACAGCCCTAAACGTGCTTCGAATGCTAACTTTGATTCTTCGACGGAGGGAAGTTCGGTTTTCCATGGATTCGTAGAGTCGTTTAGCCATAATTTTCCTGAAAAATCAAAAAAAAATTGTTATAATGACATTCAGACGTACATAATCAGTTCAAAGAAACGAACGACAACAGAAAGATAAAAAAAAGTTTTCGAGAGAGAGGAAAAGGAGGTGGATAATTTTACTAATGACCGACCGGTGTGGTGATATTATCCGATGTCCAAATAACACGTTGTTACTACCGGCGATGACGAAATGTTTAGCGTCTTTCGAGGGACGACTACGGAACAAAAAGTGGATTTACGGCTGTTAAATTAGTGCTAGACATGAAATGACCACGCCGACAGTCTCCTCCTTGGGTTTATTTCTTGAAAATTACAGGATAACGTGCATATTTATATTAAAATAATTATTTTCAAACAATTATATCCAAATAATACGTTTCGGTTTAATTTGAAGTACAAAAATAAACCCGAAAGAATTAATAATCTAATATAAACAATCTTCTTAAAAACATCTAAAATTAGAGTTGTTTATAACCGTTATCAAATCGTTGATGAATAGTATGAAATTAATACACCTTTAAATCCACCAAGAAAAAAAACATAATATAATAATATCTTACACGTGTGTTTATTTTTAATTTAAACATTTAAACAAATAACAAATTACGGTGAAATCTCGATATAATGAATTAGTATGGGGAAGGGAGAACCAAAAGTATGTTATATCACTTTAAACTGATTGAATGAATAATTTTAATAAACACAAATTCGCGTTCTGTATTAATTAGCAGTGAATAACAACGATAATTTCATTACAAATATATTACAATCTAAAGCTAAATAATAACTAAAATAACAACTAACACTAGAACTAACACTAGACCTAGAACTAGAATCATTCGGGTTTAGCCGCACGTCTCTCAAGACGGCTAAACCCGAATGATTCTAATTCTAGGTTTAGTGTTAGTTTTACTTTTAGTTCAATAAAAATATACAACAATCTAGCACTGAATAACAAGTAAAACTAGAACTAACACTAGACCTAGAATTAGAAACATTTGGGTTTAGCCGCACGTCTCTTAAGACGGCTAAACCCGAATGATTCTAGTTCTAGGTCTAGTGTTAGTTCTAGTAATAGTGTAAAACTAGAACCAACACTAGACGATTAACAGATGACGGAAAGGTGTTAAGCAAAGAGATGTTGAGCAAGGAAGTTAGAGACGATATTGAAGACTGCCGTGAACAATGTTGACGAAGGCCAGAGACAACATCAAGGATGATGTTAGTAAAATAAGAACTAATACTAGCACTAGAACTAACACTAGACTTAGGATTAGAAACATTCGGATTTAGCCGCACGTCTCTGAAGACGGCTAAACCCGAATGATTCTAGTTCTAGGTCTTGTGTTAGTGCTAGTAATAGCGTAAAACTAGAACCAACACTAGACCTAGAACTAGAATCATTCGGGTTTAGCCGTCTTGAGAGACTTGTGGCTAAATCCGAATGTTTCTAGTTCTCGGTCTAGTGTTAGTTCTAGTTTTACTTGTTATTCAGTGATAGATTGTAATCTTACTAAATAATCAGTTGGAAGAAAACCGTCGAGATTCAAAAGGTTAAATAAAGAAAACAGCGACTATGATAGAAAATATCAAAAATGATGTTGAGCGATATTAGGGATGATGCTTAGAGATATTAAGAACGATCTTGATAAATATCTAAGTATGCCTAAACGATTTTGGTGCCATAGGTAAAGTTGAGGAAGGTTAAGGACCACATTGGAAGATATCAGAGATCATGTTAAAATATATTAGTGACAATGTTTAGTGATATTAAGGATGGTATTGATAGTTTCCAAGAAAGACGATGAAAGATGCGAGGGTTGTGTTAGGAGAAAGGCCATCAGTGAATCATCAGACAAGATGTTGAGAGATAGCAACTTTAATATTGACAGATGATGAGGAAGATATTGAGTGAACCTAAGAAACTCTTGAGATATGTTAGGGATTATGAGGAGATATGTGTGATCCCATACAAAGTATTAAAGGTTGTGTTCCGATATTGGAGACAAAAAGGACTAACAAGATTCAATTACGAATATACTAATGATATGAAATGACCTAAGAAATCGCCTCAATTATTGCCTTTATAGGAAGAATACTTAAAATATAAAACTTGGAAAAATAAAATGATGATTTTGTCTGATTGATGAAATTTGTCAGTTGTTAATTTTTATTGAGGGATCACAAAGCTATAAAATATTCCGAAATTATTGCCTAAAACGCATTGGTGAAGTTGCAAGAAGTATCATGAATGGTCTTTTCTCTTCATTTCATCATCTATTTTTGTTATTATGTTGGCATCTTCTTTTTTAATCCCACTCGTTTGTTTTAAGACTTTTAATTGCTTTCTATATGGTAAATTTTTAATAGGTGCTTTTTAAGACATGGAGACAATTGAGATGTGAAATCAGCTATCAAAACGTTGAGCAAAATGTCCATCTGATTTGCTTTTAGTTTAACTTATCTCTCAAAGAACATAGTTTCAAATCAACAATCCCACACAGCTTAATCCATAATTTTGAGTTTAAACTCAAAAATTTATTTTCAAAAACGTATTTTATTTCAATCAAAACACATTGAGTGATGCGCTAATATAATAAATAAAGATATGACCTTCTAAAGACACGCTGCTAAACCCGAAACTTTCTAGTTCTACGTCTAGTGTTAGTTCTAGTTTTACACTAGCACTATCACTAGTACTAATACAAGATCTAGAACTAGAATAATTCGGGTTTAGCCGTCTTGAGAGACGTGCGGCTAAATCCAAATGTTTCTAGTTCTCGGTCTAGTGTTAGTTCTAGTTTTACTTGTTCTTCAGTGCTAGATTGTAACCTTACTAAATAATAAAAAAAAAAGATTAATATTTGCAGATCTTCTGGTACTTTACTAGCGGATTCGAGAGCTGATTTTGTTAGTGTTAAAAGACTGACGGTTGCAAAGGGAAACTATTGAAAAAAAAAAGTGGTAGTTTAAATATCCTATCTAATCGAAATCCCCAATCATCTGCAATATTTAGTCAGTGTCAAGAAAGTGTTCTAGCTAGAGAACAGTTATCATCGTTTTATGGATGAGCGTCTCATTTTTAAATGTTTAAAATTTGCAATTCTTTTTTTATATTAATCAACAAATTTTATGGTGTAATTTATTTTTCAATACCTCATTAAAGGCCCACTTTTACCATCTCTTGATAAATTTATCCGATAGATAAATCCAGCTCTTAGCCAATGAGAGTGCTTAAAACCGCCGTAACCATGGCAACTATCCTCTAGATAGTTTCTCAGGAGGATGGTAAAAGTGGGCCTAAATAATCAGTTGGAAGAAAATCGTCTAATAATAAAAATGGTTCAAAAGGTTAAATAAAGAAAACAGGGACGATGATAGAAAATATTAAAAATGATGTTGCGCGATATTAGGGTTGATGCTTGGAGATATTAAGAACGATCTTGATAAATATCTAAGTATGCCTAAACGATTTTGGTGCCATACGCAAGTTTAAGGAAGGTTAAGGACCACATTGGAAGATATTAGAGATTATGTTGAGATATATTAGTGACAAAGTTTAGTGATATTAAGGTTGGTGTTGATAGTTTCCAAGAAAGACGGGAAAGGTCATCAATTAATTATCAGATATGATGTTGAGAGATGGCAACTTCAATATCGATAGATGATGAAGAAGATATTGAGTGAACCTAAGAACTCTTGAGATATGTTAGAGATTATGAGGAGATATGTGTGGAAGGATTTTGATGCCAAATACGATATTCGCAGATGTTAGGAATAAATTTGAGAGATTTCAAAGATGATTTTGATCAGGAATAATGTTACAAAGTATCGAGAAGAATATTAACAGATGACGGAAAGGTGTTAAGGAAAGAGATGTTAAGCAAAGTTAGGTTAGTATTGAAATATGTTACTTATTATGTTCAGAGATGTTAGAGGAATATGTTGAGGAATAATATTGAGGAAGACCAGACACGATATCAAGGATGTTGGAGAAACATTAAAGATGATGTTTGTAAAATAAGAACAAACACTAACACTGGAACTAACACTAGACCTACTACTAGAAACATTCGGGTTTAGCCGTCTTAAGAGACGTGAGGCTAAAACCGAATCTTTCTAGTTTTAGGACTAATGTTAATTCTAGTTTTAATTGTTTTGTCATATTTGTATTGAACTAACACTATACCTAAAAACTATACTACAAACATTTAGATTTACCCATCTTAATACACATGCATCAAAATTAAATTTTAGTTTTATTTTGAGCAAAATTGTTGAGAGAATGTTTAAACACATTATTCATCGGGGAGATATTAAAGGGGATGTCGAATGAAATGAAAAGGTCCAGCCTTGGGCTAACACACATAAATATTCGTGTAGATTAGGCAAATAGACATTTCCAGTCCTACGATAGTTCGTAGCCATCGCCTTTATTTCTATCGGGACGACGGGCACCAAAGGGGGTGGCCGGGAGGGCGCAGTGCTAACTAGGGTCGCCTAATCAATACCGCCCCCGCGTCCCACCACGCAGTTTCCGCCCCCCTTGCATCCCCTTTATCCTCACTCTCTCTCTTTCCCTAGCTGGACCCGACACAACAAACTTTGCCATTTTTCCCTTCTTCGGTCTTCGACCTCCAGAAACCGCTTTTACTTCAACGCTATATATTTATTTGTACTTCCATAAACATTTTTATTTAATTTTTCGACTCAAAAGGATCAAAATGATCCGGAACCATCCGGATTTTCGGCCCGGAATAATCAAATCACCGTTAGAAATAAAAGGTACCATTAACGCTGGGCGTTCTAAAACACGTGAACGTGTGGACCTGTTCAAACAAGACGGTTCGTTCGACCGGCAGAATCTTGGGGGTGGTAAACATAAGGGCCGGGGGATGCCACGCCACCGCTCCTTCCGTATTCACTGATTTGTGTCCGTCCGGGAACCCAAAGCACAAGGGCAGGCCACTGCGAAAGCGTCTGGCAAAAGCAG